TAATATTCCACATTTCTGCAGTCTATGCCTGAGTGAATTTGGAACTGATTATAGCATCATGTTTGTCCTGTGACAGCCCTTATTAATCCACAATACCATGAAGTAGATTTTGGTGTCATAAAGATGAAGTGATGTCACATACTGCCCCATTCCAGTTAATACCATTTTTTAGCCCTTTACAGCTTCTTGCACTCAGTTGCTTACCAGGTGACAAGACATTGAGTTCTTAATGTGACATCACTCTCAAGTGGTAGAAGCTTGAACTGCATGTAATTTCTTTCTTCCATTGATTATTTGTCCTTTAAGCAGTGAAGCAGTGCTGCACCTTGTATTCATTTTATAGCCTCTAAACTTTTGTGCTAAATTAACAAAGCATTGGCTGGTGTGCAGTAGCTGGGTTTGTTTAAGAGCTGTTGACGTAACTTTTTCTAAAATGAAGATAGCAGTTTTACTTGGGCATATTTTTGAGATAGATAGACTTTACTTGTCCCAAAATGGTAAATTTGGTAGATTCTTGTGCTACAGCAACCAAATAGAAAAACAAATATACTGTAAAGAGCTCAAAAAATAAAATAGTATGATTAAGATAATACAGATGTTGGACTCTACGNTGTGTGTGTGTGTGTGTGTGTGTGTGTGTGTGTGTGTGTGTGTGTGTATGTGTTGTGGGTCGACAGCTTTGCTCAGCTGGTTTTCCTCAATCTAGTTTAATTACAGCAGCAAACAAAGACCAGCAGACACACACACACACACACACACACACACACACACACACACAGAAAAAGATGTCAGTGTGTTTGAATGATATGTGTGTAAATATAATACATATGATTACAGAAGTCAGGTTTCTTTTGTACCAGAAATGCATCTTTCATTGCAGTTAATATGAAGTATGGACTTACTAGATAACCAATTACCCTTCATAAAACTAATTTATAGGATATTTTCAAGCTCTGTAAAGACAAGCCCAGTTGAATTGGGAGTGTGGAACCTGGCCAGACGTGAGTCAGCAAAGCCCATTTCAGACATTTTGTGTTAAATTTACGATGACAAGCTAACTTGTCAGCACTTACTAACTTTACAGTAAAACTTTCAAGACGTGACGAGTTAAAGTGCACGTCGTCGCATAAACAGACAGGCATGCAGAAACGATGCTCTTCAAGTTGTGAGAAGTGCTTCAGGGAAGGTTTTTTTTTCTCCACATTTTAGCGCTAGTAATAATCCATAAACATGACAGACAACAGAAGACAAAGGTTGCTGCCAAAATTATGAAAACTCATTCACCTTGCTTTACAATTTCATATCTATTACAAAGGTAAATAAATATAACAATAGTTTATGTAACAGGTTAATGAGACTCGACAATAATGAATTCTAATCCCAAGCTTGACAAACCTGAACTTGACATGACACAGAGTCACAATTTATCAGCTTCATCACAGCTGTTAGGATTTATTTATTTATTTATTTTTAATGTTGGTAGATTGATTATCATCACATGTGGACAGAAATTGTATGTTTATCATCAAATCATATATAAACTAGGGTGTTAGGTATTTGGACAGTTTGATGAACTTGATATTAGTTTAGATACAGTCAGTTGTTTATTAGTGCATTATTCACTTGATGTTTGGTCTGTTCTCACCTGTGTAATAGATATTATACCCTGACTGTGTCTGTCACTTTCATGGGTATGTTTCAATGAAGCTGTGAAGAACATTGCTGTAAAAGTGACCAATGTCTGAATGACAGAATGTT